ATGTGTGCAGAGCTCGGGCTGACCCCCAGGTTCACCCCTCTAGCTGTGCTGTAACCCAAGTTCAAGATCGCCTCCGGTCCGCCTCGAAGATGGGAATGGAACTATTTAGCACGTTGTTAATTTTTAATTTCCTTCTGTTAATGTTTCCTCAGGTGACCTGTCATCAAGAAACCTTGATTCCAGCCAGGAAATGTTTCGATCCGGTTTCCAGATGTGTGCCAAGGAAATGCTGCAATACCTGGCAAAGCACGAGAACGGCAAGGACCTGAAGTCGTCCCAGCTGGTCAGCCATCTGCACCGAATGGCCTCCGAGGTGCTCCAGGGCGGAGCCGGCCGCAAGTCTGGGGACATCCCTCCTAAAATGGTGGACTTGAAAGAGAAACCTGTGTCCCTGAGCAAAGCGGCCGAGGGACACGGGAAAAACTGCGTGCCTGTGATCCAGAGGACATTTGCTCACTCCAGCGGGGAGCAGAGCGGCAGCGACACAGACACGGACAGCGGGTACGGGGGAGAGCTGGAGAAAAGTGACTCCAAATCCGAACAGCAGTATTTCAAAAAGGATACCGAACTCAAGTACGCGGTCCAGGAGAGAATAAGCTCTATTAAGCAAGAGACTGAGGACCCGCCGGCCAAGAGGAGCAGGCTGGAGTCGCCGGAGGACGAGGGCCCTTTTGGCAGCGACGTGATGGGCTCGTCCAGCAGCTTCCTGGGCCCCCACGCCCACCAGCCTCCCTTGTGCCTGCCTTTCTATTTGATCCCGCCGTCCGCAACAGCCTATCTGCCCATGCTGGAGAAGTGCTGGTACCCGGCGTCCGTACCCGTCCTGTACCCCAGCCTCCCAGCCTCTGCCGCAGCACTTACGGGGTTCATGAACCCCGATAAAATCTCCCCGCCTCTGCTGATGCCCCAGAGACTCCCTTCTCCCATACCGGCCCATTCCCCTATCGACTCCTCGGCTCTGCTTCAAGCTTTGAAGCAGATTCCTCCTTTGAACTTGGAAACCAAAGACTAAGCACAGTGTGACTTTCTTCTCGTGGGGTTTTTGTTTTGTTTTTTTTTTTGGTTGGGTTTTTTTTGTTTGTTTGTTTGTTTTTAGTTTCAGACTGTTTCACTTTTCTATATTGGCTGGACTGAGGTGTGGGGATAAGGTTCACTGCGCGTAGGAAGCTAAATCCCCTTTTCTCTGACTTGGCAGGTAGCTTGGAGAAGGATGAAGGATGCGCCCAGGTTAGCGATTCAGAACTTACTTCCAAAAGAAAAAAATTAAAAAA